GTCGTGTGTCATAAGCGAAAATTGACAAGGGATCAACCGATGAGGGGCTACGTTCCGTGCATTAGCGCAATACAAGTTGATGGAGAAATTCCCTTGTGACGTTGGGCTTATCGTGCTTGCAGGTGAACGCGATAAGTGGCGTTCGCCAGGTGTCGCGGCAAATTCCAAAGAGCAGCCCCTAAAGCGTCATTGATCCCGAATTATTCCGGGCGCGTGGATTATCCGTTCTGAATCCGAAATTACCGCCGTCGTTTATCCCTCGATATCGAATTACGTGCGAGAAAAATTGATCGAAATACATCTGGTAATTCAGATGTAAAAACTAATGATCGAAATCTCCGGAACACGTCGCTCGGCTGATGTTGATGTTTCGGCGAAATGTAAATTTAAAGGTGACGATCCGTGAATATTACAGACGCGGAATGTCATGCTACGAGCGCAATGTCGTAGGCGGCAAATGAAAAATTACCAGCGCACGTGCGACTACGACGCTCGTCCTCCGAAATATCCTCATTTATTCACGCGAGCGCTAGCGTAATGTGTCATGCATCAACGTTAGTTTTGTCGTGGTAGCGCGGAAATAAAGATGAAATATTCAAGTCGACAGTCTCGATTGCTGATTCCGACGTTCCGACTGTCAAAGATTGAAACATGCGCGCACTCATCGAAATCGCTTCGTCTTGTCGAAGGCGTTGCAACGATGTAAATTGGATCGACTTTTCGCGTTTCTTTGTACATTCGTGCATTAATAATTCGAAAAGATAAAGTCTAAACGCGGTTTATCGTCAATTGAATATTATACGTACATCGTTTACCGCTGATTGAATTTAATTAAACTTTTGCGACAGGATGCCCATGCTCTCTGTTTGGCCAGAGCTATTACGATAGAGAAACGAACGAATTACTCTCCGCTGCCTACGGCAAAGCTTAGTTGCTCGCTTTAATTGCTTCTGTCAGTTCTCTTCTCTCTCTCTCTCTCTCTCTCTCACTCTATTTCTCCCTCATTTTCTCCGCCTTGTCGCACACATTCTGTTCTTTTATATTTCCGGTAAGCTGTAGCGCGAAAAAGACAATCGATTTATAAATAGGGCTTCTCAAAGTAATAGTTACATTGCGAACACACATATCCTTAAAAAGTACACTGCTAAAATACACTACTGCAGATACCCCGTAAAAGATAAATAATACAATATTGTCATTTTATTGTTTTTCATTTTATTATTTATATATGGGCATCATGTATTCTTTACATCAAATGGTACTGCAATGAGTTATTATTGCATTATTAAACATTGAAATTAAATGCATTAATGTTGATATTAATAATAGCAAGAAAGATTTAAAAAATAAATTAAAATATATAAATATGTTTAAATATATAGATAAAATACTCACGAGTGAATCGATCTGTGAGATAATCTCTCTTTTCTTAAAATATCTTTGGTTTCTTGCGCGAATACTCGGCAGTCTCGGGTTCCTTAACAGTTTCGCATAAAACGGTAATAATGGAGAGAAAATCGATTACCGCTGGATTATATACCAATTGCCACTTGATATCGTCTAGATTAATCGAAGATGCTTCTCTCGCTGAGGCAAAACGGCGGAGGAAAATGTGCCCAGTTTCGCTTCTTTCGCGAATTGAGATCCTTCGCGAAAGTTTTGAGTATAATCCACAAAACTTTTCCGGGCATCCGACAGGCATCTCTTCGTTAGTGAGATTCATTTGCTGCCTGAGAGAATATAAAAAAAAATTGCAAGTCTATTTAAAAAGGAAAATTATATTCTAGAAAGAAGCGCGTTCTTTTACTCGTGAAAGATCCTTCATATAAATCATGCTCGTCTCATTCTCGGACATCATAAAAATTTAAAAAACTTTAAAAAAAGTCATCGAAAGAACAACCCTCCCCTCGAAAAATTAAGATATCTTTCGCTCGTCCTTTGGAAATCTCTTATTCTCTCCTATCGAGATCTCAGTTCTTCTTATCTCGATTCGATTTTATCACCGTCTTTGCACATTAAAGAATTTCCATATCGGCGACGATGCGGTCGACGAACGCTCGACGAAGCGAAATGACGGCCGGGGACCGATGACTTCCGTAATTCCGTGTGGCGGAGTTTCATTGTAGTAACAGTCGAAGTTTCCGCGACCCACTCGTGGCCAAGTGCACGACTCCGGGAAACTTCACAATAGAACTTCCGCATTTTCGCCTCGCTGCCTGCAACGCCCGCGGAGATGCAGTTACGGGAAGAGTCTCTCCCCCCTTTTCCATCCTTCCTCTCGCTCCTCATCTCGCCCCTCGTATTCTCACCCCTCGTATCGCTCGTATCGCTTGCCGCTTCGGCCGATCGGCTTAAAGTCCAATCCTCTCGTTTACAGGACTCTGCCAAAATGCCGAGGTACGTGGTACATTCGGGGACAGGAGGAGATCGGATCTTTCCGGCGACGAGCCGCGCACTCTGCAAACCCATCAGCAGTATAGGTAAAGTATATTCGCCCGAGGTCTCCTCGGCCGTAAAATGTACTACTTTTCGCCGGATTTTTCCTTCCCGAACGCCGTACGATGAAGGAAACCCAGCTCACGAGTAATACAAGAAACGAGATTCTTTACGAAGATTGAGATCCATCGGGTTTCTCTCAATTCGATGACACATGCTTTGTATCCGGTCGAATGGAGATGTCAGGGAATATCTTTAATAGAATTACATCGTAATTATAGCCCTACTGTAATCATAGGATCAAAGGCTCATCGTAATAGTACCGTCGAAGTAACATACACCGGATGATCGATAATTACATAATGTTCGCGAAGAAGATTTCGATTGTTGATGAAATTATTTTTTATATGCGCTTTGTGCAGCTTATTATATTGCCGCCCTTTGATTGCTAATTATAGTATTGGACTGCAATTGTTAATTTTTTGATCCCTAAAAAAACCAATTTTTTAAGCAATTGAAATGCATCTCGAAATGCTTCAATTGTGTGTGCACGATTCTCTTTGCACTTTCGATGATTTATTTACCGGACTATTTAGCAGTACCTTTTTTAGATCTCTTATTTCTCGCAAGAACAAAAATGCTTAGAGCTATTGTTATCTATTAGCCAGGACGCATCTTCTGAGGAAATGGAGGTGCTCGAGAAAAACAGAAGGATGCTCTCGTCGCGAGGTGTTATCAAGGAGCCGGGAGGAATGGAGATGGAAGCAAGGGCGAGGACCCGCGGCGATGAAAGCAACAAACATCTCCTTTGGTCGGAAAATGGTGCGAAAATTCCGCTTCTTTGGCGAAACGTAAATGTCAGTGAGTAAAATCGCGTCTTCTTAATAATGAAAAATGTATTATGGGAGTAAAAAAATTAGCAACTAAACGAAAATATATTTCGAGTGAGATATAATATCTAAACGTGTGTCTCCCGGTGTTATATTGAGAAATTTTCCTCTTTACACAAATACGCGCGTTATTCCCACGGATTGTTATATATTTCTTATACGTATAAATAAATCGTTTAAATAAAGAAATAGTAATTTTAAACGGTTAAAATTTCGCCGATTGATTATAATCATTTATTATACGCGCGCACTTCAATTTATCGTTTTAGCTGTGACAATACGTTTTTATTGGTCATCTACTTTTGTTATATTCCCGACAGCAAGTTTGAGTAAGCAACAAGAGGGCAATTTTGGAAGTCGAACACGCAAGAAACGTCGTAGAAGTAAGGCTTCCGGTGTCGAGGATCGCGTACACGACATTACCGAGAATAGTCGGGAGAACGAGATATCGAACAAGCAGGATCAATCGTCATGGAAAAGGAATGACCCTTTCTCAAAGTCAAGGCCGAGGAGTCGGGAAGCGCGAAAATCCCGTGCGGAGAGACGAAGGCGGAAAAAGAAAGAGAGGAAGGAGCGTAATAGAGGAGGCGGGAAGAGCTCCCGACAAAACGACAAGCGACAAGACGTCGAGCGTCACTCATCGAAGCGCGAAGAGACCGACACGTCCAAACGCTCGATCGAAAAATCGTCGAACGTCACCGCCGATCGTTTGACCTCGTTGACAGAAATTGTCGATGGTACTACAACGTCGTCGAGTCTCCAGCGTCATTCGACGCTCGAGGCGACCAACAGGCTAACAAGGACGACGCCTCGTCGTGGTGTTTACGTGGCCGATACGGTGGAAAGGGAATTCTCCAAACAGCTCGAGATGGAGATTTCCAAGTCCATGTCGAAGGACCTGTCGATTCTGGACGACGGTATTTTCGATAGCTCTCCGAAGAAATCGACCGGACGAGATGTCGAATGGAGCGAGGTCGACGGGAAAAGTATGGACGAGGACGCTTCGTCGAACGGCAAAATTGATTTCGGGAACTCGCGTTACGATGCCGAGAAGATGCTGGGCTATTCGAGGACCAAGGAGGATCTACCGATTCTCGATCTGGAGAATGAGGTGCTGGAGAGAACCTTGAAGGACTACAACGCGTATAGGCTGAAGCCGGCGTCGTTGCCACGCGAACTACCGCCGCCAATTCCTCGCACCTCCGGTTCTCATCCGCCGAGAAAGCCGATAATTAATTCGGACGAGAGCGACGACGAAGAAACAAGCACGAAAGTCACAGGCATGATGCGGGACGACAGCACGAGCGGGGACTTATCTTGCATAAACGGGACGTTCCTGCCGGCGCCTCTATCTCGCCATGCTCTGATCAAATATGTAAAGTAAGTGCTCTCCCTTTCCCTTATCTTCCATCATTCGTAATTCAATGCACGGGATAATCTTGGCATCTCTCAACGATTTACACGGTCGCAATGTGAGATATATACGTGACGTTCCAGAAATATGTTCTACGTTTTGATTCCAATAATTAGATTTTGCGAGCGTTCTCGAATAGACTTTTTATTTTTTTATTTTTTTGATCGAAACATTGATGAATCAAAACTAATCGATATCTTTATTTAATTATTTAGATAATAACATTGATCGGCGGAGGAATTTAATCGAAGCGAGATTTATTTCAAAATTGAACCAGTGAAATCTTTTCTCTCGCAACTCGAGGATCGAAAAATACGTTTATTTTTGTGTCCATTTGACGTTAACGCTATATTTGCATAAAATAGGATTTTACCGTAAAAATAAACTTCCGCCCGTTTTCGTCGCATTTATAAAGGTCCTCGACCCCGGGGCACGAGTATTTGGAAGCCGATTACGAGTGTGTGCCAGGCTACCGTATGGCATCCTCCACGAGCCGATTAGTCTGCAGGAGACGTCAGTGGCTCGGACAGGTGCCAAAGTGCGAGATCAAGCAAAATCCGGACGGGATATGCGCCGAGGCATCCTGCGAGCACGATTGCAACGAAATTAACGGGCGTCCCGTCTGTTCCTGCTACAAGGGATTCAGATTGGTGGACGGCCACAAATGCATCGGTGAGCTCGCGATTTTACCGCGCGCGAATAATTATTATTAACGGCGCACAGATTTTCTCTGGAAATTTTTACGCATTCATGCAATCTTCTCGTGCGAAATTTATATAACATTTTTATTTCAATTCAATTTTGGACATTTGTAATTTTCGCACTTAAATTTTAACACGGAATTTTAATTTGACTCTTTATGCCCTGTATAATTCATCATTTTCGTGTAAAATGCGTGCGCCAGATTTACATTATTTAAATATCTCTCCAGAATATATTTGCACGCGATGTTAATTGCACTTGTGCGATGGAATAAAAATCATCATTAAACAGCGGAATAAATATGTACCTTACTTATTGCATAGACATCAACGAATGTTTACTGAACAACGGCCACGGTCCTTGTCAGGATACCTGCCGAAATCTCATTGGAGGATACAAATGCTCCTGCGAGGGTCTGCGGGACGCATCGCTGGCCGCCGACAATCACACGTGCGAACATGACAAGCACACAGGTCCGTGCAGTGTCAACAATGCCGGATGCTCTCACACGTGTTTGTCCACGATGGGTCGGGTATTCTGCCTATGTCCCGACGGTTTCATCCTCGAGGATGACTGGAAGACTTGTCAAGGCAAGTAACTTCATTAATTAGACACGATTGATTTTATATAGAATTTTGCTTATTAATTTAACTCTCTTTCTCGTAAAATATATATCCCTCAAAGAGAGAGATATTCTTTCCGAGAATAATTAAATTTTAACAGTCTCTTTCTTTTTCTCTCTCTCTCTCTCTCTTTCTCTCTCTCTCTCGATGCGATGACCGGACGATTTATACGACGTTTTACGCGATCGAAACGAAAATAAATCTTCGTGACGTATCGAGGCTCCGCGATGCACTTAGTCGACATTCCGCGTGCAAATATTCATGGAATTTCAATCGGCGCGACATTTCTGTAGCAAAAAAGCATCGGGACGCGTTTTTGACAAATGGCAATCATTTCCCGTAGATGTGGACGAATGCTCGGTGCCGGATCTTCAGACGGAGCTGTGTCGCTATGGGTGCATCAACACCCCGGGTTCCTATCGATGCGCGCAACCTATGGAGCTGAAGGATCAGCCAGTTTTGGACAGGCTGTCCATCACTTGCCTGCCGGGTTACGAACAGACTTCCTATGGAACATGCATTGGTGAGTCGGATAATGGAAAAAAATTTCGATTTTCTCGTTCGTGGAATATAAAAAGTTCCTGTGTCTTGTCGATAAACTATTATGATTATAAAGATTAAGAAATAATTTCCATGTCGTTAATAGTAAATTAATAACGGCGATATAATTTTGCAATAATTTCAAACTCGTTGCGCGATTCTCGTTAAAAGCTATTATTAGAAATATGTCAAAGTTTGAATGAGTTCTCTCCGATGGTAGTTTTACGTATGACTACATCCGTGAATTTATTGTTGGACGTCGTAGATATACTATACTCGAATTAGAGCACACGGATGAATCCATATAAATTTTTAGCATGGCTGCTTAAGTCAAGTTAAGCTAATATAAATTCCTTGTGCCGTTATCTCTCTTCCTCACTCTCGTTCATAAGCTCGCGTCACACTTTCATCTTTTACAATAATTTCTAACCGACGTATATGCATTGTGTGATTTTTCAGCATTTTTTATTATGGCACATGTATTCCGCACTCTATATATTTTTTTACTTTTACTTTTCGCCTCGTAAAAGCACTCTGTGAACTCTCCTCGAGCTCTTCTCGCGCGAAGCTCGCGCTAACATCCGCGCCATTTAAGTTCCTTCGATCGCAAACATCTCTCGGACGATTCTCTCCTACGATTCCGGACGAAAGTGCGCAGCGGCTTTAGTATTTCCTTGAGGAAATCCGAGTTGCCTCGCGTCCCTTTCTCCGCGACGGGGAGCAAAGTACCGAAGAATCGTAATCTCACGGCCCCGCAAGGACGATACCTATATCACTACCGGTTCCTTCCTTAAAGAAAGTGAGGGAGATAGAACCTTTTCTCTCTCGCCAATCGTGCATTCCTCGGGAGAGTAACCTTCTTAGGAGTCCCGTGCGGGTTTCTCCCTCAATACTTTCAAATATCTCGATGCGGCTCCTCGCCGTTTGCACAAATGCAGTCCCGCTGCAATCCGTTTTGCAAGACGCGCGCAAACGCGATCGGAAAAACGCAGTGCTTTTATCGGCATTTTATACGGGGAATGCTTTTGTGGCTTTTCCATCTCTCTCTCTTTCTCTTTTTCTCTCAATTTCTCTTTGCACGTATTGTAATGTATCATGAAACAAATAGTAACAAATTTTTTATATATGCGTGTCTGTTTTATAATTGTAAATACCTGTAATAATTTTGAGCGATTATTATCGCTCTTTAAACGAATAGAGTATGTCGACATTTAACGTATTTTTAAATTTAGAATTTATAATCGAAATTTATATATTTTTTCGTACGGTATTTTATAGTATTATACGTTATATAAAAATTTAAAAGAAGATATCGCGCAGCCTCTCTTTCGATATAGCTCACGCCGCCGACATACACAACTCGTAACTGGCAATCCAATTTCGCGGGGCGTAAATCCGTCAATTACAATTGACGCGGTCGTGAATACCGACAAGAACATTACAGTTCGGTTGATACAACGTTACATAGGCGTTCACGTTCGCACGTCTGCGAATCTTATTCCACGGAAATTCAATCCATTTCCGTCTCCTTTTTCCTCGCAACCTCGGTCGTTAAATAGCGGGGAAATTTTACGTGAACGGCATTCCAGGATGATCGGCATTATCCAGTTGCATTGAAGCGGAGTTGTTGCAGCAGAAATTTTCTGTGTAAAATACCAAAATCCGCAGCTATTTGACGAGCAACGCGTAAAATGTACCTTAGATTTAACGCAATCGATAAGATATTAAGTTCTCTTTAAAAGATCAGAAGAAGTCCGAGAATATTTTTGAGAAAAGGGAAGATAAAAAGGAATGCGAAAAACTATGCGCTCGAACGATTCCGCGTAATGTCGCATTTATGAAAATCTCTGATATTCCCGCATCAAAGCAAAATTCTAATTTTGCCCGCAAAGACCCACATGCACGTGCGTTTTGTCTCAGGAAAAAATGGACTATCGCGATGATCTTACAATCTCCGGAAAACTTGAAAAGAACGGCCGAGGTGTCGGTTGAAGGAGTGTACCGAGTGTGGATTTCGGGGAAAACTGGAGCGACGATGAAAGAAAGAAATTCTTTCTCTCGGCTGTCTCTCGTGAGCAAGATTTTCTCGGTATAAGAAATTCTCGCGGTAGTAATATTCCTCTCAAATAAGCAAATAAATCTTGTCTGTATATATATATACTTCCCCATTTTCACGAGGAAATTTATATTAAATAAAAATTCATATTAAAATTCATATTAAAACATTTACGAAAACGACGCAAAATGTGCGAGATGAAAAAGTGTGAATACAAATTTTACATTTTGACAAATAATGATAAATGACAGCGTTGTGTGTTATTGTTGCAGAAAATTTTGTTTGGTGATAAATTATTAATTTATGTCGCAGACCGTTTATATAAAGTGTCCCAAAAACCTCAATTTTGACTTTAATCAATTATTAACAAAAAAAACATTAATTTTAAATTAACTCAGCTGCTTTAATTAAAAAGCTTGATATTACATGGTCCACCCTATACATTTCAGCGCAGATTTATACGTCGTGAAAGCAGCGAAAGTCGAGTGCTCTCGGCTATCATTGAGAGTGCTCGAGGCAATAGCGACTCGCGGCCACTTCGGTCAATTTAGCGTAATCTCGCCGACGATTGAAAGACAGATCGGGGGCCAAAGAAGAGCGAGATCGCCGGTGAAGGAGTCATTACGGGGCGAATGAAAGAAGCCTTGTATATAACGCTTGAGTGTGATGTAGCGAAAACGATCGGTCCGATCTGTTAAGGGACCGTCGCGACACTCGTATAAGAAGGCGTGATTGCACGAAGTCGACTCTAGATTAAAGATACAATTCGCGCCTATAAAATTACTCACAGCTTCCTAATCAATTGAACAAAGTGTAACGTGTGATCGGCTGACTGTAAAATGAGAGAAATTAAAGAGAGAGAGAGAGAGAGATTAAATTCAAAATACAAAATATATTTAATAATAAAGATGCACTTAATGAAGATGATGCATGTTTTCAAATAATTGATATGATGTATATTTTTAACATAATTACGTCGATACTCTAATAAGGTTCGTCATCGGACTCTTTTTGTATTTTTAGATATCAACGAATGCGCGGTTGATAACGGGGGCTGCACGGAGGTGTGCGAGAATACAGACGGTAGCTTCTTCTGCGCTTGCGAGGGGGATGAAAAGGCTCTGTCATCCGATGGAAAATCCTGCGTAGGTACGTGCTCCTTTGATAAATCACTTTCCATGCTCCGTTCATATTCGCGCGAAACATGTCGTTGTACGATTGAACATGTGTGCGTGTATATATGTATGCATACAATGTACAGGGTGTTCCGGCATCCGTCACGTTTTTCCTTCGTCTACGCGAGTTCCTCGACCAATTTCATAATTTAACTTCCCTTCTCTTCCATCCGAGAAGTTTTTATTCACCGTCATCCTTTTGTCGCAACTTTTTAACGTTCAATTATGTGTAACTTTATAAATTTCGAATTGCGTTTTTGACGGGATGGAGTACCGGCACCCGTTAGTCGCGATGCATCCGCGAGGATAGCATTATGCAAAGCTGTCACGCAGGAGCGACTTCCGCGGATGCGTCAGCGCCTAGGATGGGTTCTTCCTCTCTCTCTCTCTCTCTCTCTCTCTCTCTGCCACATTGGTATTTGTAATTCCCTGCTTCATGTACATATCGTATTTGATACGTAGAAGCAGCTGATGCGGCAGCTGACATATAGTATTGCGTCGATGTGGAGGATTCTGCTGCACGTACATAGATTACGCGCGGAATCTGCGCGGTTTATGAGCCAGACGTGAATGTTGGGTTCGCATTAGTGCATGCTGTCGGTTCAAGCCAGGTGCATTTAGCGCAGAAGGACGACGAATGAGTGAATCCCTCACCGATGAATAGCCACTAAATATTCACAGTTTATTTCCATGATCGTATATATATATAATTAAAATAATATTATTTAGAAAAAAACACCGCTGTTTTTTATTCTGTTAAATATATCGCGAATCAAGCTTTCAATACGAATAACAATCAATATTCGATATAAATAATTTAATTGAGATGATATTTATCATTAATTTGATAAGAGCATTTTACAATTTTCGATGTCTTGTAATAAAATTCTTTCGATTGAAAGATATAATCGCATATTATTTTTTTCTAAAAATGACAGAATGATATTTTTGAAGATGTCATTACTTATGACCTATATCACGTTTAAAATTTTCTAAGAAAAACGCAGTATTATTTTCCAAGATAATATTATGTTAATTATGCAAGTTTGTTTTGCATAGGGTGATTAAATTACAACGCATAAAATACAATTCTGGTTTTTGTCCCGTTGATTCCAGACATAAATAGCATCGCGTGTCCACTGTTAAATCCGGTTGGTCGTGGTTATTTAATATGTTCCCGATTAGCCACGTCCAAATTGTGGCGGGACAGACGAAAAGTGCCCAATCGACCCGGCACGAGATGCTTCCTAAAGTGTCCTCGTGGGTATCAGCTTCACGAGGAATACGAGTTGACCTGTCGATCCGATGGCACGTGGGACGGATCGGAGAACGGAAGATGTGTCCGTGAGTACTCAAATTTTTATAAAAGATGTTTTATCGCGAGATTTTGAAAGAAAGATAGCTTAGCAGTTCTTCTCTTTCTTTTCTCCATCTTTTTTAAAAGCTACATCAATATCTGAATGGAACATACTTTTATACGCAGATACAGATACATAAATTTTCAGTAAAGTAGAAAGAATTTTTTAGAGGTATGCTATCTCTAAAATGGAAAATCTGTTATTCCCTTTTATACTTTAACGGAAAAGACGCGAAGAGAAAGTAGCTCATTGTAGCTTTCTCATAGTGTCGCGTGAGAAAAATTGAGACGACGAGATATCGGCCAAGAAGGAATATCTCGCACGTTCTTTGCGACAGGATATAGCAAACCCCGATTGGAGTGTCCGAGGGATGTCGTAGCCGAATTACCGCCCGGTAAGGATGAGGCGTTCGTGACCTTCGATCAACCAGCGACGGATCTCGATTGGTTCCGATACGTGCGATCGAAACCATCCTGGGGTACGCGTCTCGAGGCCAGCCTGAAGCCCGGAGTGCACGAGATTACGTTCTTCGCGCGACACCCGGTATCGAAGAAGCAGGCCAGCTGCGCGCTACGCATTATCGTCAAAGGTAATTAATCTGCGCGGATGCGTGTTAACGACGTATTACGTATAAATGCGATAACGATGGTGATTCCTCCTCGTTCGAGCGCTCGCGATAATGACAGCTCTCTGTAACGAGCGAGAAATAGCGATTATTAATTTGTAATTGTACAATAACAGGATGCTCGCGCCAACCACCATCTCGCGTTCCGACAATATATGTGTACATATACATATATATTCTTCAAAATTAATTCATATCCCATTGAATTCTCATTTAAACGACACAGAATATAGAGTGTGATCTTTCTAATGCAAACTATTCCTCAAATGCATAAACTCGTTAATAATTTTCGATCACTATTGTAAAACAGAAAATACTTTTAAATTACGTACGTAAATAAGAGCTTTCTAACAACGAAATTATTTACTTGAGGAGGTCGCTTATACTTCTCGGTTAATCCACATACCCCCTTACATTAATTAATCCGGATTATAGAGATTGCACTCTGCAGAAGGTACCGGATAAACGTCTCTTGAACTTTGCAAATCTTGATTAATAACGGATGGAGATAGAGGATAACACACATAGGTCGGCTGATCCTATCGTGGAGGAGAACACATGTTAAATAAACTGCAACAGAATGGGAGAGCGTTGTACATCACTTATAGCAGCCGTGAACTCCGCAGTTTCTCGATGATTAACAACGTGAGATTGAAATATTTCCCCTTTGTTTACGTTTCTCGAGAGGTTTTGGATTTTCGCGAAAAGATAGTTGTCGTGCGAGCGAGCAATTACATTTCGCGTTCGCGTCAGAAAAGAGACGAGTAAATATGTATCGTACGAGTTTGGCGAATTATTAGATCGTCTCGTCCAACGTCGCGTATAACAAAAGTTTTTTCTCGCGTCATCCGTTGATGCCGGCATCCTTTAAAATGCGTCTTAAGAATATTACATCTCTTCCAACGCGCCATCAGCCGCGTCCACTCATGTGCATCCTGCTGAGACGTGAGCGAAATACGTTGCAACGGTTCGTTGTATCGCGTGCTAATTAAATCCTTATACAATTTTGAATAAACTTATTCGTTTGGATAAATTATTACCTTAATACTCGGTAAGCTAAAAACTCGCTACTTACTTTTCCCTTTGTTATATAATATTATTCCAATCTGTCTTTGGATCGCTAATGAAAAAAATATGTAATAATCTTATATCATTTAAAATGCTCTTTAATGATATTTCATATATTTCAAGAGAATATTTGAAAAGATCGTAAAAGAAAAGGAGCGGCTCTTTTGCTGCTTATTTTATTTTTCTATATAAGTTTCTTTGAACGATTTAACATGCTAGCATGCGAGCTTGTTTAACCGTGCAGCATTTGAGGATTACATTCAGCAACTCTCGTACAAAAGTACAGAGCTCTTATTTGTGCGTAAAAGTAAGTTGACGAAACTAATTTGATGCAAACTCCAGCTTCTTCATCACTGACACTCGAACCAACCGAGTTTTCTCCGAGGAATGCTGGCCTGATTTTGCGGACAAGTCTACGCGCAACTTGAATCGCTGTTTCTTTCTCGCGAACGTAACGAACGACGGACTTGGCGCATAAATAAGCAGCTTTTCTACACCAATGAGCGCACGATACAGAAAGATCAAAATGCATCCTTTTTCTCTCATTTACAAGATTACGAAAACATAATTTTTCCATTCAGTCCGTTCGTTCGTTTTAAAATAAAAAACGTGAAATTTAGAGATGTAAAGGCATGCGCGTGTGAGAAAGCTTGTTTTTCCATTTTCTTTTTTACTAACGTCACGGTATACGCGATGCTCGAGAAATGAATTTCGCTCACAGACACGCGAATCTGTACTTGTATAATCTCGCGTTCGCCAACTCCGTCTCGCCGATTCATCATTCGACGACGATGCGGAAATCGAACTTTCTCACACGCCGTCTGCGTTTCGATTCAACGAGTTTTCTTACGGCCCGCAATTTCCTCGCTCGACGAGGGGGACGATAAAACGAGCGCGGGGGGATCAGCTGTTACTTCAATTTGCTAATCTCCGAACTCTAGACGGCGAGGCACCGAAAGTCAAAGATTGTCCGGGGGACATCGAAGTCGTCGGGAGAAATGGAACTGCGATCACGTGGACGGAGCCGATCTTCACGGATAATGTCAAGGTGACGCGGATCAGTAATAATGAGGTAAGATTGGATATCTATAAAATTTTCTATCAATCGCACACAATCGGAAAATACAATTTTTGTTTGTCTCGGGGCTAGATTTTTTTTTGCTGTTGTTGTCATTAGTTATTTATAAACACAAATAATTACAATTAATATTTCGGTGTACTGTTATAAATTGGTGTCTACATAATTGTCCGATAATCACCATTATGCATGTGATTTTCGTCTCTAATATCAGCAACATAACGTTATGAACAAAAAGTAGATAATATCTCGATAACCAAGCGCATCGATGTTTATGCATGACACATTGTAAAAAGCTTCCATTCGATACGCACATTCAATACGTGTTTCAACGATATGCATCGCATTACGCGGGTTTAATAATCGCACCAATTGCGATTGGATGAAAAGCGATTTTCTCCCGTTTTCAGTAATCATTAATAATAATTTTACAAGCGCGGAGATCACCCATTATCGTGGTGATATTATCCGATGTAATGTCGAGAGATTGCCATTTTATAAATGTGCGAAAATTTTCTGATAAATATGAGCACGGGATAAAAATGAACTCGCACATATATGAATGCTTTTAATACGCGGAGCATCGTGCGATGGTGTATGTGCAATTACAATTTCTTTTACGGCGAGACTGCGACGCATCGAATGACTGATTAATTAGCGCCAATCTGAAAATTAACCGCGACGTCGTATACGCGTACATTGTTGGCCGCTTTAATTAGCTTATTTGTTAACGCGCGTCAATTATTACTCGAATTTTATAGCTCGGTCCCCATCATTCGTGAGCTCGAAACCGCGTTGGTTTGTGTGATGAATTATGTAAATTTTTGGGCCACAAAATACAGAGAAAGAGGAAAGAGAGAGAGAGAGAGAGAGAGAAAGCGAGTCCGGATTCTCGCAAAGTGGATTCGTTCGCGAGCTCCGTGAAATTAGTTAAGCGTAATTTTCCACAGCGAGAGATGCGAATTTCGATTAAATCTTCGGAAGCGTGATCTTGTCGCGCGTCAAAATTTTCACGCAAACTACATTGCAAATTTTCACGCACGCACGCACGCACAGCAGATTTTCTCCCTCCTTATTATTTTATTAGCGCCCCTCACCGCGATTTCTCGGCGACGATATTTTTTCCGCGCAGAGCCCGGGTCGTCGCTTCGACATCGGCGGTCACAGGATCGAGTACGAGGCGGGTGACGAGGCCGGTTGGTCGAGCAAGTGCGTCTTCACCGTGGTCCTTCGTCGGGAATAAGCAGCTGGAGAGACAGGAGGAAGGATTAGGGACGCGGCGGGGAGAGGGTGAGGAGAGAAAGAGAGAGAGAGAGACTGAGCGGACGAGAAAAGAGGGGAAGAGAAAAGCAGCGCCGAAGAATAACGATAAGGTAATATAAATGGAAATGCCTACGGGACTATACGGGACGCCGTCTCCTTACATAGGCCCCGTAATGGATTCCGTTTTGTCCGGCAGGTTACACGTGGAAGAAAAGAGAAAAAGAACGGATATTTCCCTCCTTTCACACGCGCGACTACCCCCTTTTACCCTTTCCCCTTTCCCCGACATCCGGGCGGCGTGATAATTTTTCTAAAGTAGGGATGGAAGTACACCTAACGAGTGTAATCGCACTCGATGGTCTTATCGACTGCCACTTTTGATAGCATAACGTAACGATAGTGTAGTAGCGTTATACGATACTTATAAAGAATATAATAATATTTTACGTAGAGGAGAAGGTAGGGAACGAGCATATATTCCACGATCTCTAAAAAAAAAAAAAAAAAAAAAAAAAAAAAAAAAAAATTTAATTCTCCATGATTTATATTCAATTCGATGTTTATACCACGTATAAAATTTCCAGAGCGCATATAAAATTAAAGGTCCGATTTCGCAGCTCAACCATCGTGTATTCCTGCCCTTGCTTCTCTCCCCCTCTACGTAATATAATTTTACCTTGTAATATAATTTTTATCGCAACCGCAGATGGTTATACTCTCGGGCATGGTAATACAATACAGCGAAATGTAGCGTAAATACAAAATTCGCGATTATCGAGTCCCGCTTTACGTTAAATGGAAATTAACAGCTACGTTATGTCACTATCTGCGAGAATTGCGAATTTCCACGTATGATATAACATTCTTCAAATATTCCGCGGTAATTAACGAGGCTGTGTCCTTCGCATCCGCCGCTAGCAGATTCCTTTCCCACTGATAAGATTCCCATCCAATGCACCGGCTGACAGGTTGCACAATAGACAGGATCAACGCTGTGTATCTGTCAAAGTCACACACGAGCGAACTGACAATGTTAAGCGGCGATAATACTGGTAAAGAGAGATGCGGACACGTTATATGTACTATCACTTTATCGGTCTCGAGATAGCGCGTCTTACGAGATTTTCAAGTGTCTTATCTCTATCGATATATACGCGAGATTAAAATGTATAATAATGTCTTAAATATTATTTTTACTCTATCTCGATATTAAATAATGTCAGGTCGCAATCTTGTTTCTTCATGTAACAGGAATGAATTAAATTTTTCGATGATTCTCTCAAGACGCAATTAATAATTGTTATTTTTTTATAATTTTTAAATTACTCTTGTCAATCTTTTTCCATCTTTTTTCAACGTCCAAGAATTTCGCGTGTATCGTTGGAAAAATATCGTCGTCTCTCCCTCGACTTTATTTTACATTAAAAAGAAACGATGAATAAAAAAAAATTCTTAAGACAATTCTCGCGAGTTTGCAGAAAACACGAAAAGTAATCTCAGCAAGTACGGTCGCAATAAGTCTATACACAGTTGACGCGAGGAATAATTAACCGCCATTTAATTACAACGTTGTTCATGTCGTACAAGCAGGAGCCATGTATAATATTTACAGCGGATAGAAACTTGATTTTCTTAACATTTAAAGCGCGCCAATTACGACGGCTTTCTTCGTCATTAATATTATTGTATATGAAACTGACAAGTATAGAGTTGGACGACAAGTACACGTGTGTTTGCGGCGCACAATTTATTAATACGCATTCCCACGTATCAACAATGCTCGCGCTTGCGTCACCGATCAATTAATAATGCTCGTTGCGAGAGCGAACGGTTTAACAACCGCGATCTCTAACCGCGCGATGGTTTCGCGGCGAGATATGATAACATAAAGGGATAAACCGGGGAAGAGAGCCAAGCTACCGTAAAACGAGCTCAGCTCGCACTCAAGTGTAATTTTGCGCTACAAAGCTCATCAAGATTGTTAAACATTTAATACACTCACAAATAATTGGCTTAGAGCGATCGATTTTTCTTCTCGAAACAAGATGAACGACGAGTTTTAAAAAAGATCCACGTCTCTGGTTTCGACGCCAAGTTTATCCCCGTCAGGTGCTATGTAAACTACCCTCTTTCCGGAGTCTGCGATAGCGTAGATAAGACACAGATAGATTTTACTATTTATTAATACTCTCCTCTACGTCACTCGCATATCATTGTTATCGATAACGATCGATTGTCATCGTACGATATTATTATAGATGTACAAAATTTATGTATCAAATATATACGTGGTGTATACATACATATACATGTGTGCGTGCGTTTGTATATTACAAATATCGCCAGACTGCATAAATTGTCACGGTAGATGCGATCATATTGTAGATATTACTACAGTATAAAAAAAAGGAAACGATGGTTCTACGAGTTGTCATTTATAGACGCGCCCGCTTCGTTTCCCCGGAATCTTACTTTATATCTACCTACCTATTCTTATTAATCATATGGCAGTTTATATTACTAGGTACCACTAATTCATGATGTAGCTACGCGTAAATAATTACCGCAGTATCTTCGTATTATAAAACTCGAATCTTGTCTGAAAATCTCGGTAAATTGTTTGAGAAATTTCAGAAGCGTAAAAATCTCATAAAAGTTAATAATTATGATAGATTCTTCATAATCGTGCATCATTTTTTATCGAAGGACCGCGGGAGAAAAATACCGAAAAATGAAGAATAGAAAAAAAAATTTTTTAAATCGCTTATAAAATCAAGATTCTAATACATGCAGTTACGCAAGACATATATATTTTTCCGTTCTTGACTGCTGTCTTCGGCGTTGATCAATTTGCATCGTGCGGCACGGATAAATAGGCGCTCCGATATATATATATACGAACGCGAGGCAAGATTTCCGCAGATGCTCCCGCGGCGCGATTTACGCGATAGAATTTTCCTTTACACGAGCGCCGAGTTAACTTACGTGTTCCCTTATTACACGTCGTTCACGTGGCCCTTTACGTGCAACATTCATGCCGCGACGGCAATATTCTCGTCTCGACGCGGCCCGTACCGTAATGAGTCGGTGGCGAAACTACGTGATCGGTCCTCGTGGCGCGTTGCCGATATTGCCGGTGCAACAGCTGCTGTTCCTGCCCTTGCCAGGGGTAATGCTGTCGCCCGGAGTGTCGATCTGAGAACATATTCTCCCGTTATCGACTATCGCCGTATAAATGAGAGAGTTGAGAGAGATATAGTTGTGAAAATATCATTTTAAGATCATGAAGAGAGAGAAGGGAAAAGGAACATTTTTGTGCATTCATTTCCTTCATAAACACTATTAAAACATTATTTTACACGTAATACAAGAGATATAAAAAGAAACTAACTTTCTGAAGCTTTTTCGTTTCTAGATAAAAGTGCAAAATAAAATTAACGTTCTCAGTTCAAATTTAGAATAGAAAGAATATATATATATATATAATTATATGTGTAATTTATAAAATAATTATTTAAATATTGTTTTAATGTGAATTTTTATATAATACGTATCGAGAACCTGGATTGCCATTCTAATCAACTATGCTGATCGGGTCTCAACTAAATGTAAATGATCTTCGAGTAAATAGGTCAGATAGTCGGCGCTAAGAAATACTCTTCTAGATGCTTTTAGATGGAGTCGTTGCGAAAAGAGCGGCGGGTGAACAAGGGAGTTCAAGTGGCAAACAAAAACCGTCCAAATGCCGTCGTTAATCATGCGAAGTCAATGTACGTCAGATTACTAAGATTGATTAGGTACACCGAAAGCTCGATGCATCAAAGGGTACGGAAGGGGGATGAAAGTACATTATAGCGATGATCCATGCAGCTTTTGACAACGTCATTAATATAGCGGCTCTTCTAATACTAAATTTTCTTCATCGATAAAACGCAGGTAGAACTTTAAGTTTATAAGTAACAAATTTTTTTCCACAGATAAAGATTCAATAAATAAATTTAGAAATGTCTGTTCTTTAGAAACGACAGGACTCTGTTTTTCGATCGTTATCATCATTATTACGTCGTTACATTATTAGAATAGCGCGAAAACCTATTTCACGCGAAGATGACAGGGCAACCTGGTTTCATCTTCGGTAAGTGACTGTCGTCATCTTGGAAAACACTTTCAGTCAACACATTGTCGTTGTCCTCTTTTCTTTTTATGTCTCATTAATAAGCGGTGGCGCTAACTCGCTTAAGAGATTGCGTTGCAAACCATCCCGCGTATGTAAATCATGCGGCAACATTTTGCGTGGAGAGAGAGAGAGAGGGCTATTTGAGGCGTTCATTAACTACTTTGCGGTTCGCCAACAGCACTTAGCCACGTCGGTTCATTGTTATGTCGCAGATGTTAGCTCTCGTTGTAAATTGCTCTATTGAATGATCACTGAGATTATACTTGGTGTTACAGTTATACATGCAAAGTAATACAAAAAAGTGAAAATAAAAGAGAGACTACTCCAATTTTTCAAATTGGTATTGCAATTAGAAATTGAAACAGCAATTAATAATTTATTGCAACATTGAAAAGATAATCAGTAGAAAAATTGAATTATGCAAGAATGTTATTCATACAGATGTAAAAATATTAATTTCTTATATATCATACGATTAATATTTAATGATTTTCAGGATTTAAATTTTGCTCTATATGGAGAACGAATCTCATATTATTATTCTGGACGGTATACATAATGTAATATTTGTTAGTGCAATATATATACGATTTGAAAGATAATAATGCCGGGGGAAATATAAACATCGATCACGATTCTATTTGTTTGCTCGCCAATTATTTCGCTCTTTGTGTTTTGTTTTAATTATTCCTACTATCAATTTAAACGAGTTTACATTCGAAACTCGTTACGCTTGGCTTAGTGTCTAACAAACTGTAAATCGTTTTGTATAACAAGGTTTATAATAATTACATTCAAAAACACAATGTAAATGTTGCGTCGATAAAATATGTATGTAATATTTTTACACGACATTTTCCATATTCGAAAAGGATTTCTTGCACAATAATTCAGGATTTCTTTCGATCTTATTCAATACATTTTGTAACTCTCGAGTTTCCTCGGGTGACAAGGACGTTTTCTGTTCCGACAGAACGGCGTCGGAAAGACTCAAAGACACCAACGATAAAGCGTCCTCTTTATTGTTATCGTCGTCATTCAGGAGGTTCTGTTTCAGCATCTTGATATACCTCTTTAAACCCGAATTCATCACGAGATCCATTTTCGAATCGCGTTGCGGAAGTTGCAATTTTTCGTCCGAATTGATTTTTCCTACAATATCCTGCTCGCACGTTTTCGTCTCGTCGTCGACGATGCCGCTTTCCCGCAGGGCCGACGATGCCTTCGAACTCAAAGATTCATCGCGTTTCATTTTGTCGACCGCGTCGTTTGATCGAGTATTCAATTTCGCGCCGTTTAATCCGCTTTTCGTCTTGTAATTTGCATCTCTTCGTGCCGGATGCGAGGATTCGTCGCTTTTAGGATGATTGTTCGCGCCTGCGAGTACGCCGGTTCGCAGATCCTGCATAATTTTCGGAACTTTTGACCGAGTAACGCCGTTAATGTTATTAGATTTTATGTCCTTCCCGACCGCCGCTTTGGTATTCGAGATTAGTCGAGTTCCATCGCCCTCATCCGCCGCCCCTACGTTCCCCCGAGGATCGATCCGGGTTATAACTCGCTCCCCGAGTTTCTCGCCATTGGGGATCGCGGATTTATCGGTATCGTCGGCGGGGTTTAACACTTCGGCGGATAATTCAATCTTTGGGCTTAGCGACGCGCCTTTGGATGAATTCTCCGCGCTTCTTAACCGTCGTCTTTCGTCGCGATTTAATTTCGCCGACCTCTCCCACTGATCTTGCTTAACGTTCGTATGTTCTTTTCCGTTACCTCGATTCGTTAATCTCGGCTCCATCGTCGTCCGAGTTCGGGAAGCTGCGACGCTTGAAGGTGCGTGGACGGAAGGGACGGCGATTCGCGATGTTGGATAAACTTGCGTCCGAGGTTTCGACGATAAAGACGACGAGACATTGCGAGTAATCGCGGATATTCCCTCCCCGGTCGAGTCGGGAGTCTTCAAAGTTCGCTCGTTATTTTCCACTTGCGCGGCGCTTCCGACATCCTTCAATTTGTCCTGCCGTTGACATCGCGGCGACGTCGTAAGATGTTCTCGACGGTGCTCGATCGACGTGCCGATAAATTCCTTTTCTCCTGTCGCGATAAAACTCGCCGCTCTTCGCCTGGGCGACTCCGGATTACGGCTTACATCGGATTCTTTCGAACGATCTTCCCGGCTTGAAACGGCAGGTCTCCGCGACAAGCCGTTATCGCGCATCGACGTCGCCGGTCTCGTACATTTCGCGGGATTCTTCGTAATATTTCCGTATTTTCTGTTGAAGGAGGTTGCGCGAAAATTTCCCGACATCCAAGGGGGATACGAGGACGCGCGACTCCTGGGGCTGATCGATGACTCGCGCGAACGGCGCGACACTTCGTCGCATCGGCGCTTGCTACTGGAATCGCTGCAGATGCTGACAACCTCGCTGGAGCTCGCCGAGATAAAACTCGATTTTCCCTCTTCTGCGTGACGTTTGTTCGACGATGGAAACCCGGTGACAGCGGGGTAATCTTCCAAGTTTTTCTTCAAGTCGCGCGAACGGTTCGTTGCGCTCGTCTCAAGCCTCGGTGATTTCGTCGCTCTTTTCTGCCTCACCGGCAATGTGACAGCTCGAGATAACGCGCAGCCCTTCGGTGACATCGAGGCGTTTCCGGCACTCACCGGTCGATCCGTCGTCCACGAGGACTCCTTCCTCGTGCCGGAATCGGCGAATCGTGGACAGTTGTTGTTTTCCACGCTATCTCCAGACTTCGCTTTATCAGTGCGTTCATATGATTGTGGCGGAATCGTCTCTCTTCTCGATACTTGACATTTTGAGTTTAAATCGCTCCTGCCAATCGTAGAGACATTATCCTCGAGCGAAATGCTTCGCGATAGCGAATGAACGTATATGTTCCCATTATTATCCATACCGGGCAATTTCGCAAAGTTACTATTGTCGTTTTCCGGAAAATAATTCCTGTTGTCTTTGCGAGCGTAAGATTGATATTCGATACTCTCGTCGGGAATCGTTTCAGTTTCCTTTTCGGTGGTCCTCGGTCTTCTTACGCCTTTGCTTAAAAAATGATCCATCGGATGAAGACGTTCGGCGTTTTTCCGGCTCGTTGCCTCGGCGGTATCATAATATTCCTCGACGAAATCGAAAAGGCTATGATCGTATCGATCGTTGAGTCGCACCCCGATCACCGAGTCGGCCGAGTTGAGATGCAGCGAATTCAAGACGACGTCGCCGGGTGGTTGGGAGTCATCGTATCGCTTCCTCAGAGTAGCTTCGATGAGCTTGTGACGGTAGGCTTTATAATCGATGTTCGATATGTCGATTATCGGATGCTTCGCCAAGGACGAAGGACGATTCAACGACGAACGACGTTTCTTCGATCCACGATCTCCGATCTGATTCTCGATTCGGCTCGAAATCTTTGACGTACCGTCGCTGCTTTGTAAAAACGAAGGACGATTCAACGACGAACGTTTCTTCGATCCACGATCTCCGATCTGATTCTCGATTCGGCTCGAAATCTTTGACGTACCGTCGCTGCTTTGTAAAACCGACGAGGAATTCATCTTGCGAGTCGATTCCAGATGCAGACTGGAACTTGAAGTGGAATCGGTCGCCATCCGGGTCGGATAATGCATCACTAACGATCGAGCGACGCGATTGTGATGACGACGACGACGACGAGAGGACCAAATAGTCTTTCCATCGAAGGCTTTCAATGGCTCCTGTACGTAATAATAACGTGATACGTTATTAAAACGTATCAGAATTACGTAAAAAGATCAAATCGTTAGATATGAAGAGAGAGGAAATTTTTTTCGGCGAGTTACACTTTAATTTCATCTTCGAATTTTCCCCATAATTATTGTGCATATATTTCTATAAGAGAGACGTAGATCATGCCGAGAAAATTTCTCTCTCGTTTCTAATCGAATAATATTTATAACGCCGTTACAGCTACTCGATCTGTATATCGCCTTGAATGGAATCGCGGTACCGTGGTACCGCTATTGTGTAACAAACAGCGTTATATCGCGGTTTCGCCGCGAAAGAAATTGGAAAATTTACAGTCCAGCAGTGCTTCCGCTCAAACACCCGCGGAAACGCGCGAGGGTGTGCGAGTTATCGATACCCGCCCGTTTCAAAGCGCGTTCCCGAACATTTTGCGAGATAATGGCACGTCGGTAACGCCTGTCGTTGTGTCGTGTATGAATAAAAACGGGGCGAACGCGCGCTCTCTTGGCTTTTGCCCCGCCGAGAGAGGAAAACGCGCCGAGAAAAACACAGAATAAAAATATTATACCGTTTGTCGCGACATTTTTTATTCATACGGTATCCCAATATCGTGTACTCGTGTTTCACTACTACATTTCTCATGCTCGGGTATCTATTCGAGCGAGATAATTTATCACGTGGAGGCACGTACCAACAAGATGTAAACGCGCACGATCAGCGGCGCCGCTAACAAGATCGTCAGGACTAAAGCGAGGGCACTCTCGACGATGAAGGGTGGCGTCGATTGCAGGGTTAAGACGAGCTTCCCTGGCGCGAGCACGTTCAACATTCCGATCGCTTGCTTTTCGATCACGTCGTCGTATTACAAATCGTACTCTTGTCGTTCGCGCTTCACGTTTCACCCTTAGATCGTTTTTAGATCGCGGGCTGTAAATTCGGGCGATCGATGCAGCCTTCGAAGCCCGCGGGTTGCTGCCTGCTGCCAACAGCAGTGTCTGCTATAATCGAGCGATCGCTGATGCTCTCGATTACGCTTTGTCTTTTTTTTTTTCGATTTTCTTCTCCCGTGGCTGCATTCGAATTACTTATTAAAATGTTCAATGTAAAATGACAAATTATCGATCCATATTTTTATATATGTTAGAGCATTATAAAGCGCGCTCTGCGCGCACGCCATTTATTTCTTTCTATTATATAATATAATTCGAGATAAAATCTATATATATTTTATATATTATTTTATTTATTACGTGAGCATGTGTTATTTCATGAATATCGAAGAGATTTTTTTTATTATTGATAGCTTTAATTTTTTATTTGTTATGGAATGTGTATTACTGTTGCAGATTTAAAAAACTGCAATTACAAGTAAATGATACGTTAATAACAATATGTAATGTATACAATATTTTTATTGTTTGCAAGAATTTTTGCAGGATGTGTGCTGTACATTTCGGATATTTGAAACATTTATTATAAAACCGCATGAGATATATTGTGACTTATTATAATTGAAAATAGCAATTGCTATTCGCGTATGTTCTTATAAATAATTAAGTAAATTATACTACTATGAAATTTTAATGAGTAAAACTATTTTGCGGCAAATATAAGATACATCAGTATACGTCATGCATTATTGCGAATTTAATTCCATGCGATGTTTACCAACATATTGCGTATTATATTACATATCACTTATTTATTCACCCGCTTTATATACAGTTCGATATTTCGGACGAATAAGTATAAATATTTTAATTGTGTTACACGTTCTGCAATGCTTCGTGAAATTATCCAATATTAATATTGTATTTTGCATTGACGAAATTTGTTAAAGTATGTAAAAATATTGGCACGCGAAATATCTCATTTTCATCAATATGCTTGTCGAATATCTCGTCGTTCTGCTATAATGCATGACATAAAATCGAGCGGTGTCGAAATTAAGCAAATATTTGTAGTTCAATGTAGATTCGCAATAAATTTAAAATGGCTCGATTAACCTGGAGATAGATGTTATCGACAAGTGTATCGATATTTATTTATTTTATTTGAGAAATGTCAATTAAGCGACTATAGGAAAAATAAATACAGCTATTCGGATACATCCATTTGAAAAATTTGGTGATATTTCTGATAAATTACATTCATTAAAATTGTACATTTTATGATATGCGTATGAAATAAGTCATGAGATTTCAGTTTAAAATGTTTTTTAAGCATTTTTTTTATTTTTTTCTATGTTTTTTTATAACGGTATTTTGTTGCATATGTGATATATTGATGCAAAATCGCGGAATAATTATGAGCTAACGGTATGTATTATATCTATAAAATTTCGAACGAATTTGATTAATGAAATTATTATCTAGAACCAAATTGTGAAATAGGCCAAGTATTATTCGCTCTAAATCTATAAGTAAAATTATATTTCCTCAAAAACTGCGTTATTATTGCCTAAAACTATCGAAAAATAATTAATGTATAAACTATGTGAATCCTTCTTTCCAACGATATTGCGCCCAAGGGTAAGTTATGTTTACGAATTGCTTGGGCGTTTGTCCCATTTATGCAAACGACGGCACACTGGTTTTTTTATTTTTCTTCTCGTGGCGTGCACAGGTATGCTAGGAATGCATCTGCATAAATGAGGCTAGACGATATACGTGCGCGTAGACTCGTTGTGAACGTGCTTTAATGGTGCGACCCCGACACGTCCGCGAGTTTATCTCGGCCTTATACCTGCTGCTTCATGGGATTCCCGTACATGCTTTTCATCCTTCCAGTTACATCGTAAACCCTCCGTTCGCTCGCGACCCCTCTCTGCCTTTACGCTTCTCTCGGACAACATTCTCATCACGGTTTGTTCAGCCTAGATCCCTTCCGCGAGGGCGAGTAGACGCGCGTATGATACAGTGTATTATACCCCGCGCATTACATGTATATGTATACCTTCTCGATCTTATACGATCATTATGCTATAAATAACTTGACCCATAAATTTTATGCAGGGACATTTGTGAAACTAGCAATACCTTAAGTCTTTCTCATACTCAGAGATAGTATTTGAAATAGAAAATGAAAATACGTACATATATTCTCTCTAAGCTACTTCTATCAAGCTATTTCTCCTACTAGGTTATATAAATGGTTAATGAAATAATTCACATTTGTATATTGCAATAGAAATTTTATTTGGAATGTTTAGTTGATTTTACGAATCAAAAATGTGCAAAGTCATCATACGATTACATACGTTATATGAAATTTACCAATGAAGAAACAATCGCATTTACATATGGTATTTCACTAAATACTAAATCGAGCGAGAACAATAGAATAATAAATGTTATAGCTATGATATGGTATAATAGAAATAATATTTGAAAATGCAGCTAGTTTTTTTATGCAACTATTGTAAGAAATCGAATCCTGCAATACAGACAGTAATATACATGTTTCTAAACGACACTTTTAAGTTTTTTGTTATTTTACAATTGAAAGAGAAATTTATTTTATATATATATATATATATATATATATATATATATATATACATGCGGAATATTAAATTATAAAAATATTTTAATTTTTGTTCATCAATTATTTATGAAAGGATTGATGTATCACCGAACAATTGATGTCACACGAATGATAACAGAATCAATGCATGTAAGCATTAGCGCGCTACATGTCGCAAAAACCGAACACTGCGTGTTATTGTTATATTTAATTATTATGGTATTATTATATTTAATATCATGACTTAAAAAAAAATCGGATTCCGATCTATCTTGACAGTGGCAAACTGCATTTTTATATATATTCTTATTTTTAAAAAAGTCTGTTGTTGTTTTTTTTTTAACATTCTCTTTCTCTTTCTCTCTCTCTCTCTCTCTCTTTCTCCGTAGGCCATTGAATTGTTTAAAATTTATTCTGATATTTATTTGCATTAATAAGCGTGTTTGCTTCGATAGGAAAAAAAAAACACATTATCTCTAGATTATAACTTACAATTATCATTGTTGTACGGCACGGTAATGTCTGGGCGACTCTGTGTCTGCTGGATGGGCGAAAGTTCGCGATAAGAAGCGCCAGCATCCTGATAACCGTCCTGCCAACGTTCCGGATGCCGCTGATAAGCCCCCGAGAAGATTCTGGTGTATCTCAGGTAACAACCGCTCGGTATTTGCCACTGCAAATCGGGTATTAGGATAGCCGGAATTTTTATCCACCCTCCCCCTTACGTAATCATGAAAAACCTCTTTTACGTCTACTTACGCTGTAAGAGGAGCTCGACACGGGCTGCGGCGGTCTGCCGGGACACATCAGCATCTTTCTTCTGTAGAATCTCGGCTAAACGAGGAGATAAGTGCATTGAGCCACGGTCTCGCACATGAATTTCTCTCACGCTTTAATCTACGACTATATCCTTGAAAGGGCTCTCTCGGCCGAGACTGGCGCGCGACAAAACCATTTCGCTTTAAACGCTTACCGTCATAAAAGATATTGATGTCTCTCTCGATATTTTCGTTAGGTAAAAGCCATTTCAGTTTATCTGTCTTGTCTCGTCGCACTCGCGCGCGTATAAATTTATTAATATGCAAAAGGCGATATTTTTGGGAAAAACGAGAGATCGGATAAAAGTGTTTTATACTCACTTCAGAATTATGATCCTCCTCGGATTCTGCAAGAATACGATATTTGATCAATTGTTTCGTTTTTTGTTTTTTTTTTTGTTTTTTTCTCCACCCAATTATTAATTATATTTATACGAAAGAGAAAAATTTAGCGATATTTGATATTTGAAAAGAATCGAAAGTGTTACATTTCGCCGCGAAACCTTTTCCATTTCTCGCGGGATAGGCGGGAAAGGGCACAATGGCGTAAATTTACCTCTCACGTGTATCGAGAAATGGCATTCGGCTCGATTTCCGGCTGCATCCGAGGCGACGTAGCGCACGCTGTGAACGCCAGGATACATCACGTGTCCGGGACCCTATGCGAGATATACGATAATTAACTTTTCGCGCGATTGCATACAAATTTCCTTCCAGGAAAATGTCTTCTGGCTATACGCGAAAGGTACATAGACCAATCTTGCCTCATCGCGTTCCATACCAAAAATGAATCGCGTTATGGATCGAAATTCTCTTTTTTCTTTTTTTTTTTTTTTTTTTACCTTTCGAGAAATGGCATTCGGCTCGATTTCCGGCTGCATCCGAGGCGACGTAGCGCACGCTGTGAACGCCAGGATACATCACGTGTCCGGGACCCTATGCGAGATATACGATAATTAACTTTTCGCGCGATTGCATACAAATTTCCTTCCAGGAAAATGTCTTCTGGCTATACGCGAAAGGTACATAGACCAATCTTGCCTCATCGCGTTCCATACCAAAAATGAATCGCGTTATGGATCGAAATTCTCTTTTTTCTTTTTTTTTTTTTTTTTATACGATTCGCGAAGCAGCTACTTACTCGCACGATCCTCGTTTCAATTTACCTAATCAGATTAACTGTCACAGGTTGCATAATGTTCAGGACCATTTATAACCCGCGCTATCGAGGGAGCGCAAAGCCACCAATTATCCGTGTGCGCTGGTTATCGCGCACGGACAGGGTAATCCCTGTTATTACGTTAATAAAGTACACGTACAACCCTTTTCACGGCAAAACGCCAGAAAAGTAAAAGGAAGACGGGAGAGGCGTTGGCCCGACAATGATTAATCGGCCGGCCCGGTACTTTTTCCTACGAAGATACGCTCGCGAAGAAAATCGCAGATATCTCTCGCTGCATCGCGTAACAGTCCTTTCGCGAGTCTCGAATTATGAGCGGATAATTAATGAACGGAATATCTTTATTCGATATTAATATGCTCGATTGTCAACACCGGCAAACTTTTAATTAACTTCGAGATCAATGACAACGCGAAGGAAAAGTAAAAACTTTTGCCTGCGACACACTCGGATTTGCGAATTAGAAAAAATTGAGAAAATTTGAAGATTGATAGTGATATAAAATAAGAATACGTGCCACGTACCCTCGTCTTATAAACGTGCTCCACTGCGACATTGTCGGTGAACGTCGGTTCTTGCCAGAATATCAAACGGTTTCGTTCTCCCGGACTCAATCTGACTTCGAAGGACGTGGGACACATTGTAACCTTGGGATTTTCCGTATCTGAAAAATTATCACAGCGTTTCCGGATAATCGAGCTTTCTTCTCAAGGATCATTACCCTTTATTTCGCATAGAAGCCCAAGTCGAAATTTTCATCCTATTTTCAACCTCATTTCTCTCACATTTATAGATTCTAAAGGATTTCGATGAGTTTAATTTACATAGGAATTGAATTTCTACTTTGTACCTCAAATAGTAAACGAACAGTTTTCCACTTAAAGATTTAAATGGAAGCGTCTGACAAGAGTCTATGTTAAATAGGTTTAAAAGGGAGTGATCTGACTTCTGTGCTTAAAATGAATGCTAAATTGAAAATTGAGATATCCATAAGTAGGAGGAAAATTTTGACTCGGGAATAGAGAGAAACTAGAGAATCACACAGAATAAAGCCGGCGTAATCGATCAAAAGCGAAAATATTGAGACGAGGACGTAAAGCGGTTATTTAGCCATTAAGAGTTTCGAAGCTGCCGCATAATTTCCACGAGTTTGTCCGATCGACGCGAGTTTATTCTGCGTAATCGCATATCGACTACGGCGATGCGCGGGTGCTCCTTCTTCCAGCCGCTGCGTTGCGGAAGGAACTTGCTTAAAGCGAGTTTCACGAACTTTCCGAATGAGTAATTAAGCGGGACGAGACGGGAATGCACTTTGCCGCGGAAACTAAAGTTTACCGCGTCGAACCGATTCGACGAGTGCCGGCTGATTCCCGTCCTCTGATCAATTGTGGTCCCCTCTCCCTCCTCCCTTGGTGGGGAAAGTTTCTTTTCTTGGAAAAAAATAGATGAATTTACGAGAAAAAAAGAGTATATCTCGGGATCCTGAATTAATAATCGACAAAATCAAAGATTGACTTTGGAGCTATTTAATTTTCCATTCTTCTCTTTATTTTTATATTTACTCATTTTAATTTTCGAGAAAAATATCGGGAATTAGAATAAGATCAATCTCGCGCCTTTTTCGAATTAAATTATATTCTTTTCTTCTTACTTGTATATTTTAATAGGATTCTGGTATTTTCTAGCGACATTATTACTATATTTTATCGCCGTCCGGTGTACACTGATATGCTCATTTATTTATAAATGCACGGCCACTGCTATCGCTGTAGCGATACTCGGCATAAGAAAAAGGAGCTTGCGAGAGATCTCAAGCGGATTTTATTCCTGTTTCCTCTTACACGCGAGACTTACCGCGTACTCTTATCACAATTCTACAGGTGCTGGTGTAATTAGAGACCGGCGACCACGCCGTAAAGGTAACGATCGTCGTACCCGCCAGCAGATCCGCTTGCATTTGCTTTGCCCACGGGGGTGAGGCGTGTACGTATCTAAAGAGAGGGGGAAAAAAAAACGAAATAAGAGGTCAACGTAGCGTATATGTAACTAGGTAAATGCGATGCACTTGCATCGTTCGATATTTAAATAATATTATCTCGTTTACATTAATGAAGAGAAACAGAGAGATAGATGCACAGAGGAAATATTAAATATGTATTTTTTTTTCCGGATTTTTTTTTTTATATAAACAAACTATATAAAATAAACGTAATCCGAATTAAATAAATCTACAGGCAAGAAATATTATATTATCGAGTTGAGTAAGCTATCATAAATTCATTTGACTCAGCACTCAGACGTTGCTCCATTATATAGTTAGGTATAATTATACGCTTCATTATGTATAATCGTACGTATTTCTTACCTCCACCAGTTCATGTTGGACTTCGGTTGTGGGAAAGTTACCCGTATAGTGTTTTGCCTAGCCGGCAGTTCGACATCCATGTCCTGGGGGCAGCTCACGAACGGTCGTGGCATGTCTACGGCGATAAAGTCGATTGTTGTTAAGTTTCCGATATCGATAGCCCAATTCCCGTATAGTGATTACGTTGGCGCGCATTTCCCACGCTATCGCGTTGCGTTCTTATAAGAGGCGTTACTTTAACGCGCCGGAAAATATCCCATCGCGTGTGCAAACTTTCTTACGCCCTTCTTTTCGTTTTACATCGTATACGATAATACAACAATAGTGTTAAATATACAGACTCCCGAAGAGCCTTACTTTTTTTTCACGGTAGATAACTTTTTGATCGATTTTAAATTGACCTTATCTTTTCTTTTTATTAAAACATCGAATAACTAAATCAAGTTCATGAATTTTTCTGAGACATTTTCTATATTCCATAAATGTCAATGTTTGATAAAAGATGGAAATGAAAGAAAGAGAACGTCGCTTTTAGAAAGATCCGATTTAAATACTTTGTTTTAAAAGCTGATTTCCGCATATTAGCGGGAGATGTCCGCAAAAATCTGAAATGGCGCGGTAGAAGGGTAGAATCAAAATCTCCTTTCCATTAAACGAAACAATTAGCGCCGCGAAGAAGAACCGCGAAAATGCGAGCGGGCATGAAAAAGCGGGCAAAGCGGATGGAACGAACGGGAGGAAAAGAGCGGAACATAAAAAGCCGCCGACCCGGAGTAAGCTCGTTAAGGGGCGGCGTTAACGTATGATCTCGTTAGCAGGCAGCCTCTACACAGGAACTTTGTAATATTAAAAGCTGTTTCCGAGTGGAGCATGACTAATTTAACGCGTCCGAGAATTTTCGCCGTTAGATTACTCTAGTCTGAACCGGCGATATTTTACGTTCGATTGCGCATCCTTCGAACATGCTTCCCTTGCATTTATCGGAAAGAACAACCTTAAGAGAAAATCAATTGAAAGTACATAAACGCGTCTTACTCACGTTCTTCCGCTAACGTTTTCTTCCCCCAAAGAAACGACATCCAAGTCTCAGGGAAAATGTTGCAAGCGCGTCTTACGAGTAAAATTTTGCTTATTTCGAAGCGAAGATAAATTTTCAATAATTTTAGAACAAAAATACGCGCGAGAAAATTATGAAACGATATAAAGTGAGAATAACGATCCGTATTAAAGTATCGCCTTTTAACGCAACTGTCAGGTTGTTAAAAATTTTATCGGGTGAACATCTCGATATAATTTCGCGCAAAGTTACGACGGGGACGGACAACGCCTGCAGCGTTTTTTCTCGGTAACTATAGAACTGAGACAGACTAAGTTACTTGGATTATAAAGGGAGTCTGTCACAACTTCACGCAGACAGATAGGCTCTTTCCCGTTCCATCGGCCCTCGCTAACGCAGTGTCTCGTGTGCGGCCCTTCTAGTCGAAATCCTCCCCGACATCGAACGTGACACTTGGCACCCTGCGGATAGACGGATGCTCCGGAAGGGTGGCCGGGACATCTAATCTGTTCGATTTTAAAGAAAGTACTTGTTGGATAATATTGAATTTTGATATTTTATTTTAAAAATATTTAAGATGATTTCTGTCGCGATATATATCGTTCTCTTAATAATTTTCAATTCTACGAATTTTCCGATTTCTCGCGCTTTTTATAAAGCTACATGTTTATAAAATTTTAAAATCAAACTAGTACAAATTAATGTATGTATTAATGTTGTAGAAATTTATATTGAAATTTAATAATCATATAAAAAAGAAATAAGAAATATTTAAAGATATATTTTAGACATATTTTTCTTAATTCGCTCGAGTTTTGCACCTAACATAGTTTACGGTATCACACGATAATTCGCACCTCTCCGTGTAAAGGTGGCTCTATAGCATGACATTTCGATGTTGGTGAGACGCAAGTCCTCTCGTCGGGTGCCAACACTAAATCCACACTGCAAGTGCAGTAGTAACTTCCGGCGGTATTGACACACTCGCCTGTGCAACCGCCGTTTTGGCTTAGACATTCGTTCACATCTTGACATTGCCTCCTGTTTATTCAAACCCACAGATGAGAGATTTATCAGAAGGAAAAAGAGAAATCTTGATCTCTAGTTTGTTGTCGTTGCAGTAATATTCGCGCTTACATCTTACCTCGAAATTAACGCGTATCCAGCCCGACAAGCGCAAATAAAAGATCCCACGGTATTAATGCACTCTTGATCGCATCCGTCACGATGCCATTCGCATTCGTCGATATCTAATGTCAAATTTGCGTAATCATTGTTATAAAAAGTCACGCAATTATACGCAAAACGAAGAATGGAATCGAAAAGCTAGATATTATCAAATCAATCCATAAGTATTTTTAAGAATTTTAAAAAGAAATAAATTAAGATATTTATTATTTTATTAATTTTTTTTTTACTATATATAATATATATTATTGCGCTTCTCTCATATATACATACACATAATTTATTGTGCGACAAACAAACTTTTTAATAAAACTATATATAAAGTTTATGGATTGACTTGATTTTGATTCTTTGTTATATAGGCAATACTACCATATTTTGCAATGCCTTATAACTTGCCTACGCATTCGTCCCCTTGCAGTTGAAATCCAGGAGGACACGTGCAATAATACGAACCGGGTGTATTGATGCATTTCTCGTTGCAAGGTGCCCTTTCGATGCACTCGTCGATGTCTGTGCAAAAGTAAACTCAGTTCAGTACGATTAAGCGATGTCGTTTTTTCTTTTCTCGGAAAACGTTTCCGCACACGAACCTACACAGGTATCGTCCTGGAATCGATATCCCGCCTCGCACTCGCAACGATAACCGCCCGGCATGTTGGTGCATTTGTTGCCCTTGCAGATACCAGCCGCGCATTCGTCGACGTCTAAAAAGCATACACATCACGCATACACACAGATATCACACATACATACACACACACACACATATATATATATATATTGCTTTGCGAAAACTTCGACCGAGCTAAGCGAGTCTAACTTTGTAGCAAGCTTCGAAAGTGGAACATGCAGCGAAATCGTGTAATAAAGAGTCACGCGTTATCCGTTACAGTCAGATTTTCCAGAGGCGATGATATCATACACAACGGTAATTTGTAAATATAAATTGTAAAAATAAATTAATACAATTTTCTCTTTTTTATATTATTGTTTTATACGCGACTCGTTTCACGAATGTCATGCTAAGATATCTCTCGCTAAAGAAATAAAAATCCATTCGATGAAAATAATAACAACAGCAAATTCCAAAATAAATATAGTTATAATTCTAAATCTAATAGATTTTACGTGTCTCACTCACCGACGCAAGTAGAATTCATCATCCGGAATCCTTCCTTACATTTGCACTCGTAAGAGCCAGGTTTATTGACGCAGATATGATCGCAGCTGTGCTCTCCCTCGCATTCGTCGATGTCATGACACTCGGAATCATCGATCCCGCCCTTTTGAAAACCTTCCTCGCACGAGCACACCGCGGTACCGTTCACCGCGACGCAAATCTGTTCGCAGCCGCCGTTGCGCTCGTCCTGACAAGGATCGGACGGTCGACAGGATCCGTTTCGCGGTACGTGACCTGGCAAGCATTCGCAGCGAAAGGATCCCAGGGTGTTGATGCATGTCGTATAATCACAATCACCGTTGTCGTTCGCGCATTCGTCGACATCGACACAGGTTCTCTCGTCCTGGGACAGCTCGTAGCCGGTCAGACAGGAGCAGAAGTGGCCGCCAACGGTGTTGTTGCAAACGTGGGAACACTCGCCGTTCCGCTCTTGACACTCGTCGATGTCCAGGCAGGTGGACTCATCGGCATGCAAGTAATGTCCCTCGTGACAGGCGCACGTGTAGCCGCCCAGCAAGTTTACGCATTCGTGGGTGCAATTGTGACGATCGGTCAGACACTCGTCCACGTCCACGCACTTTTTCTCATCGTCCGGCATCAGGATATAGCCAGCGGGACACTCGCAACGATAACCACCCTCGGTGTTTACGCACGTGTGAGAGCAGCTCGATTCCACGTCGTTCTCAAACTCCTCGCATTCGTCGATGTCCTCGCAGGTTCTGAGATCACGTTTCAGGCGGAAGCCGAGCGGGCAAGAGCAACTGACGTTCGAGATTGCAACTTTGTCGGGATCTTCTTCCTGATGACAATAATGAGAACAATTGCCATTGTCGCGCTTGCAACCGTCTATCAAAATGCAAGTTCTATTATTTCGCTCCAGAATATATTCCGCTGGACACAGACACTGGAAGGAACCTACGAGATTCACGCACGAATGCGAACATCCCGCGTTCTCGCTCTCGCATTCGTTGATATCGTCGCAGAGAGTAGGATCTTGAAGATTCTGCGTGAAACCGATGTTGCAGGAACAATCGAAGCTGCCGAGTGCGTTCACGCATTGATGAGTACAATTGTCATCCAGTTCCAGACACTCGTCGATGTCCACGCAAGTTGCATTGTCCCGCGGTGACAGACGATAACCGTCAGGACACTCGCAGACGATCGAGTCCTCCGCGAAGAAGCAAATGTCCGAGCATCCTCCATTCTCAACCAAACATAGGTTTCTGTGAATACAAAGAGTGTCATCGTCCTCCGACAGGATCATTTCTTCGGGACACGAACATGTCACATTACCGTCCTCGTGATCGTGACACGAGTGAGAACAACCGCCATTGTCGATCTTACATCCATCTTCTCGTACGCAAATCTTTTGATCCTCCGCCAGGATCATACCGGCTGGACAGGCGCAAGTGACAGTTCCGTCCTCGTAATAACACAGATGGGAACAACCGCCGTTATTTTCATTCTGATCCTCGTTCTCGTGCGCGCACGTCATTTTGTCCTCCGATAAAATCATTTCGGGCGGGCAGGAACAGGATGCCCGGTCGTTCTCGTGATGACAGAAATGCGAGCATCCTCCGTTGTCGATCGAACACGCGTTTATCTCGACGCATGTCTTGCCGTCGTCCTTCAACAGTTTGTAGTTGTCGGGACACGCACATTCGACGCTTCCTTCTGTGTTTGCGCACAGATGCGAACACCCTCCGTTATTCTGGATACACTCGTTGATGTCTTCGCAGGTCCTGCCGTCGTCCTGCAGCTCGTATCCCTCGGGACAAGTACAGTTGAAAGTGCCGTTTGTATTCAAGCATCCGTGCGAGCAGCTTGTATCCTCGAACGAGCACTCGTCGATGTCCTCGCAGTTTCTGCGATCGTTATTTAATTGAAATCCCGAAGGACATTCGCAATGATAAGCTCTTTCGGTATTAATGCAAACGTGACTGCACGTGTGAGATCCGTCGGAGCATTCGTCTATATCTTGGCAAGTCTTCTCGTCGTCCTGTAACTCGTGTCCTTCCGGGCAGCCACAACGAATCCCCCCGTCGATCTGTTCGCACGTGTGTGAGCAACCGTGATCCTGGGCGCAAGGATCGTCCGACAATTGCTCGCAGGTCCTAGAATCTTCTTGCAGATGCCAACCGGAAGGACACTCGCAAAAGTAAGAGCCCTTAATATTAATACAATCGTGGGAACATTTATGTTCCCGTTCGTCCTGGCACTCGTCGATATCTTCGCAGATATGTTCTTTATGCGAATATAAATATCCTGTAGGACAGGTGCAATTGTTATTTTCTTGAGACTCTGTACACTCGTCCTGGATGACGGCGATGCATGTACGATTATCCTCTTCAAGCTCGAATCCTGTCGGACAGGAACATGAGTAAGATCCCTCGAGATTCTTACAATCGTGACTGCAATCGTTCGCCGCCTCGTTTTCACACTCGTCCTGATCCTTACACGTGTTGCCGTCCACGTCCAAAGAATAACCCGCGGGACACTCGCATCTATAACTCGTATCTATCGTTACGCACGAGTGCGAGCACGAGGAATTGGAGCAAGGATCGATCTTCGCGCAGCTGAGACCATCATCCTCCAGGATCCATCCGGAAGGACACGAGCAACGGTAGGACGCGTATTCGTTAAGGCACAAATGCGAACACTCGTGATCGCCCTCGAGACACTCGTCGATGTCTTGACACTCATCATTGTCGTCGTCCCGTCTAAGTCCTCGAGAACACGTGAAATCCCCGCACGTGAGACCGTCCTCGAGAAGCTTCATATCTCGCGGACAAGCGCAATGATAACTGCCGGGGATATTAACGCACTCGTGCGAACAATCGTGCTCGTTCTCCAGACACTCGTCGACGTCCGAGCAAGTCGCTCGATCGTCCAACAGCTGGTATCCGATCGGACAGACGCATCGCGGCCCGTCTTCGGTATCCTCGCACATGTGAGAGCAAAGATTCTTGAAGCTGGTGCAGTTCCTCTGTTCCTCGCAGGTCGCATTGTCCTTCATCAGGACGAATCCAGGAGGACACTCGCACGTGTACGCGCCGACGATATTAAGACAGATGTGGGAACAAGCGTGAGACTTGTCCGTGCACTCGTCCACATCCTTACACATCGCACCATCCTCTGCAAGTCTGTAACCATCATGACAGATGCAACGATAGCGGCCCGGCTCGTTCACGCACTCGTGTTGACAGCCGTGCGATTTATTCTCGTCGCACTCGTTTATGTCTGAAAAGAATATCAAGCGAGAGATAATGTTAATAACTCGTGTACGAGAGATGATAAAACTCTCTCTGTCTCTAAAAGTTTTATGTTATCGGATACCAACACTTACCGACGCACTCGAAATTTTCATTCTTCTTGAAGCCATCCTCGCACTTGTGCGGATTCTGCGGAACTTCGGTAATCTCCTCTCCATAATCATTGTCGTCGTCACTGTCTTCCTCGTTATCGTCTTCGCTCTCGTTATCGTAATCTTCTTCTCGAAGGATCTTTGTTACCATGTTTGGATGTACTTTACTTATGCACTTGTAAGATCCCACTGTATTCTCGCACTCGGTATCTTCTGTACAAATCTCCGACGTCGTTTTGCATTCATCAACATCTAAATAAAAAAGATAATACTTTATAATGTTCGTTTTTAGAATCTAACGTCAGTAAAATTTTAATCAAATAAGAAAGATGTCAAATAATTTTATCAGTGAACTTTTCCATTGTGATTTAAATTTGACGAAAATGAATTATATCTACCTCTATTTATAATAATTTTCAAACAGATTGCAAGGCACACAATTAAATTTTTTAAAAATTGCTTTAATTGATATAAAATTATTTTAATTTATATAAAAATGAAAATAGCTGGAAGTTAATATAATCGATTGAAAGTGAGATAGAAAATATCTGTGTGCACCTTGACAAGTCTTCCAATCATTAGTTAGATAGAAGCCATCCGGACAGAGACAGAAGACACTTCCAGGCGTGTTCAAGCACAGGTGAGAGCAATTTGCGTTATTCAGAGCACATTCGTCAATATCCTCGCAAGTGTGATTGTCGGCAGCTAATTTGTATCCAGGAATATCCGCGCAGCTGCACTCGTAGCCGCCTACGAGATTGCGACAACTGCCTTGACAAGGCCCGTGTCCATTGTTTGACAGACACTCGTTGATATCTGTGTAATAATGTATGGTATCGTGCAATTTTCGATACAGTCCCGTTTATTAAATACAAGCGCTTTATAACGCGCTTTCGCGTTCCGTTAAATCAAGAGAGATATTAGAAAATAAATCCAAAAGTTAAATTAAATTACAAATAAAAAACGTCAAATTAATTTTAACGTTAAATTAATTTACAAATAAAAAAATTACAAATAAAAATCAATTTAAATAATAAATTTAAATTGATAAAATCAGCAAAAATATTTCTCAAAAATGTCTCTTTGCTCATGATTAACCTTGGCAAGAATGACCGTCGGTTCCCAGCTGAAAACCATGATGACACTCGCAGGAGTAGGAACCAGGTTCGTTCCGACAGATATCGGCGCATTTCGTTATACCTTCCGCACACTCGTCGATGTCTAAAAAAATATTGAGGAGGAAAGAGAAGGATCGACCATTAATCGCTTTATAACTGCGCGATGATGAAATTATTAAATTAAATCTTTAAAGATTTATATATGTAGCTTTTACTCTTTTTTTTTTTTTTTGACGTGACAGGGTGTTGATGCATGTCGTATAATCACAATCACCGTTGTCGTTTGCGCATTCGTCGACATCGACACAGGTTCTCTCGTCCTGGGACAGCTCGTAGCCGGTCAGACAGGAGCAGAAGTGGCCGCCAACGGTGTTGTTGCAAACGTGGGAACACTCGCCGTTCCGCTCTTGACACTCGTCGATGTCCAGGCAGGTGGACTCATCGGCATGCAAGTAATGTCCCTCGTGACAGGCGCACGTGTAGCCGCCCAGCAAGTTTACGCATTCGTGGGTGCAATTGTGACGATCGGTCAGACACTCGTCCACGTCCACGCACTTTTTCTCATCGTCCGGCATCAGGATATAGCCAGCGGGACACTCGCAACGATAACCACCCTCGGTGTTTACGCACGTGTGAGAGCAGCTCGATTCCACGTCGTTCTCAAACTCCTCGCATTCGTCGATGTCCTCGCAGGTTCTGAGATCACGTTTCAGGCGGAAGCCGAGCGGGCAAGAGCAACTGACGTTCGAGATTGCAACTTTGTCGGGATCTTCTTCCTGATGACAATAATGAGAACAATTGCCATTGTCGCGCTTGCAACCGTCTATCAAAATGCAAGTTCTATTATTTCGCTCCAGAATATATTCCGCTGGACACAGACACTGGAAGGAACCTACGAGATTCACGCACGAATGCGAACATCCCGCGTTCTCGCTCTCGCATTCGTTGATATCGTCGCAGAGAGTAGGATCTTGAAGATTCTGCGTGAAACCGATGTTGCAGGAACAATCGAAGCTGCCGAGTGCGTTCACGCATTGATGAGTACAATTGTCATCCAGTTCCAGACACTCGTCGATGTCCACGCAAGTTGCATTGTCCCGCGGTGACAGACGATAACCGTCAGGACACTCGCAGACGATCGAGTCCTCCGCGAAGAAGCAAATGTCCGAGCATCCTCCATTCTCAACCAAACATAGGTTTCTGTGAATACAAAGAGTGTCATCGTCCTCCGACAGGATCATTTCTTCGGGACACGAACATGTCACATTACCGTCCTCGTGATCGTGACACGAGTGAGAACAACCGCCATTGTCGATCTTACATCCATCTTCTCGTACGCAAATCTTTTGATCCTCCGCCAGGATCATACCGGCTGGACAGGCGCAAGTGACAGTTCCGTCCTCGTAATAACACAGATGGGAACAACCGCCGTTATTTTCATTCAGACACTCGTTCTCGTGCGCGCACGTCATTTTGTCCTCCGATAAAATCATTTCGGGCGGGCAGGAACAGGATGCCCGGTCGTTCTCGTGATGACAGAAATGCGAGCATCCTCCGTTGTCGATCGAACACGCGTTTATCTCGACGCATGTCTTGCCGTCGTCCTTCAACAGTTTGTAGTTGTCGGGACACGCACATTCGACGCTTCCTTCTGTGTTTGCGCACAGATGCGAACACCCTCCGTTATTCTGGATACACTCGTTGATGTCTTCGCAGGTCCTGCCGTCGTCCTGCAGCTCGTATCCCTCGGGACAAGTACAGTTGAAAGTGCCGTTTGTATTCAAGCATCCGTGCGAGCAGCTTGTATCCTCGAACGAGCACTCGTCGATGTCCTCGCAGTTTCTGCGATCGTTATTTAATTGAAATCCCGAAGGACATTCGCAATGATAAGCTCTTTCGGTATTAATGCAAACGTGACTGCACGTGTGAGATCCGTCGGAGCATTCGTCTATATCTTGGCAAGTCTTCTCGTCGTCCTGTAACTCGTGTCCTTCCGGGCAGCCACAACGAATCCCCCCGTCGATCTGTTCGCACGTGTGTGAGCAACCGTGATCCTGGGCGCAAGGATCGTCCGACAATTGCTCGCAGGTCCTAGAATCTTCTTGCAGATGCCAACCGGAAGGACACTCGCAAAAGTAAGAGCCCTTAATATTAATACAATCGTGGGAACATTTATGTTCCCGTTCGTCCTGGCACTCGTCGATATCTTCGCAGATATGTTCTTTATGCGAATATAAATATCCTGTAGGACAGGTGCAATTGTTATTTTCTTGAGACTCTGTACACTCGTCCTGGATGACGGCGATGCATGTACGATTATCCTCTTCAAGCTCGAATCCTGTCGGACAGGAACATGAGTAAGATCCCTCGAGATTCTTACAATCGTGACTGCAATCGTTCGCCGCCTCGTTTTCACACTCGTCCTGATCCTTACACGTGTTGCCGTCCACGTCCAAAGAATAACCCGCGGGACACTCGCATCTATAACTCGTATCTATCGTTACGCACGAGTGCGAGCACGAGGAATTGGAGCAAGGATCGATCTTCGCGCAGGTGAGACCATCATCCTCCAGGATCCATCCGGAAGGACACGAGCAACGGTAGGACGCGTATTCGTTAAGGCACAAATGCGAACACTCGTGATCGCCCTCGAGACACTCGTCGATGTCTTGACACTCATCATTGTCGTCGTCCCGTCTAAGTCCTCGAGAACACGTGAAATCCCCGCACGTGAGACCGTCCTCGAGAAGCTTCATATCTCGCGGACAAGCGCAATGATAACTGCCGGGGATATTAACGCACTCGTGCGAACAATCGTGCTCGTTCTCCAGACACTCGTCGACGTCCGAGCAAGTCGCTCGATCGTCCAACAGCTGGTATCCGATCGGACAGACGCATCGCGGCCCGTCTTCGGTATCCTCGCACATGTGAGAGCAAAGATTCTTGAAGCTGGTGCAGTTCCTCTGTTCCTCGCAGGTCGCATTGTCCTTCATCAGGACGAATCCAGGAGGACACTCGCACGTGTACGCGCCGACGATATTAAGACAGATGTGGGAACAAGCGTGAGACTTGTCCGTGCACTCGTCCACATCCTTACACATCGCACCATCCTCTGCAAGTCTGTAACCATCATGACAGATGCAACGATAGCGGCCCGGCTCGTTCACGCACTCGTGTTGACAGCCGTGCGATTTATTCTCGTCGCACTCGTTTATGTCTGAAAAGAATATCAAGCGAGAGATAATGTTAATAACTCGTGTACGAGAGATGATAAAACTCTCTCTGTCTCTAAAAGTTTTATGTTATCGGATACCAACACTTACCGACGCACTCGAAATTTTCATTCTTCTTGAAGCCATCCTCGCACTTGTGCGGATTCTGCGGAACTTCGGTAATCTCCTCTCCATAATCATTGTCGTCGTCACTGTCTTCCTCGTTATCGTCTTCGCTCTCGTTATCGTAATCTTCTTCTCGAAGGATCTTTGTTACCATGTTTGGATGTACTTTACTTATGCACTTGTAAGATCCCACTGTATTCTCGCACTCGGTATCTTCTGTACAAATCTCCGACGTCGTTTTGCATTCATCAACATCTAAATAAAAAAGATAATACTTTATAATGTTCGTTTTTAGAATCTAACGTCAGTAAAATTTTAATCAAATAAGAAAGATGTCAAATAATTTTATCAGTGAACTTTTCCATTGTGATTTAAATTTGACGAAAATGAATTATATCTACCTCTATTTATAATAATTTTCAAACAGATTGCAAGGCACACAATTAAATTTTTTAAAAATTGCTTTAATTGATATAAAATTATTTTAATTTATATAAAAATGAAAATAGCTGGAAGTTAATATAATCGATTGAAAGTGAGATAGAAAATATCTGTGTGCACCTTGACAAGTCTTCCAATCATTAGTTAGATAGAAGCCATCCGGACAGAGACAGAAGACACTTCCAGGCGTGTTCAAGCACAGGTGAGAGCAATTTGCGTTATTCAGAGCACATTCGTCAATATCCTCGCAAGTGTGATTGTCGGCAGCTAATTTGTATCCAGGAATATCCGCGCAGCTGCACTCGTAGCCGCCTACGAGATTGCGACAACTGCCTTGACAAGGCCCGTGTCCATTGTTTGACAGACACTCGTTGATATCTGTGTAATAATGTATGGTATCGTGCAATTTTCGATACAGTCCCGTTTATTAAATACAAGCGCTTTATAACGCGCTTTCGCGTTCCGTTAAATCAAGAGAGATATTAGAAAATAAATCCAAAAGTTAAATTAAATTACAAATAAAAAACGTCAAATTAATTTTAACGTTAAATTAATTTACAAATAAAAAAATTACAAATAAAAATCAATTTAAATAATAAATTTAAATTGATAAAATCAGCAAAAATATTTCTCAAAAATGTCTCTTTGCTCATGATTAACCTTGGCAAGAATGACCGTCGGTTCCCAGCTGAAAACCATGATGACACTCGCAGGAGTAGGAACCAGGTTCGTTCCGACAGATATCGGCGCATTTCGTTATACCTTCCGCACACTCGTCGATGTCTAAAAAAATATTGAGGAGGAAAGAGAAGGATCGACCATTAATCGCTTTATAACTGCGCGATGATGAAATTATTAAATTAAATCTTTAAAGATTTATATATGTAGCTTTTACTCTTTTTTTTTTTTTTTTGACGTGATTAAATAATTTACGCAACTTTGACGCTGATAAAATAATGAAGCTACGCATGAAATTGAATAACAAATTTGCGTCTGCCGCTGAAAATTTATAATGTAATGATCAACAGTTTCCTTTGAAACATTCATTTATGATCGAGCGATGTATCGATATTTATCATCATTTTATCGCAGCGAGAAATTTAATAGCAATAATTGTACATTATCGGTACAGACACGCTGGGAAATCGCGTGCTATAACGGAGCCGCGTTGATGATGCGATCATCGAGCTACAAACGCGATATGATTCGCAAACATACCGCATATTGCAGCCGATAGAGCGAAAGCAGAAAATCGGTAAACGTAGAAAGCCGATAACTGCTTTTAAACTCGATCTCGGCCGCGATATGCGTACAATCCGACTCTTAAATAATCCGATACATGCCAAAACCGATGATTCTATTATTAAGACAATGTTTATGCAGATACCGCCATTTACTCGCGAAAGCGGTTAAAATTATACTCGCTATATTTATATATATCCGAAAATTGTTTTCACCAGACGAATGTCCCGCTTACGAATATCGCGCTTTATTCTCCCTCGCGTTTAGATCGGATAAATTTAAGAACGTTGAATGTGTGGTGTAAAAATGGGACATTGAAGGAATATCGGAAACGGCAAATACAAACGAATCGATAGGCACGGACAGTCGATACGAAAAAAGGTATACGCGAATTTCAGGACGGAAATATCAGATATCGAGATACATGTGTGAGTTTGATTTTCCTTCAAAAAATACGAGAATGTTGGAGATGCAATACCATAAGTCTACATATGCGAGCACTACGTAAGACGTGTGGATTACCTATGCAAGAGGATCCTTTAGCTCGAAAGCCATCGAAACAGGAACACTTTATACCGATTGGCGTATCCTCGCACACGTGTTCGCATTCACCTGTACCCTGATCGCAACGTTTCACCTTTTCGATCGACAGTTCTAAGACAGTGAACATACATTTGACGATAAATTCTTGTATACTAAGGAAATTATATTAAAATTATTATAAAAATTATAAAAATTATTATAAAATAGATGAAAAAGGTTTCTAATTAGACTTACGATTTTCTCTCACGCATTTCGGACGACGTCCGAGCCAAGTGCCGTTACTGCAAAAAAGCCTATCCGTCGTCGAATCCACGAACACGTAACCATCCGCGCACTCGTAAACCGCAACGAGGTATCGATTGTACGGCGGCAGTACGTTCTTCCTTCTACAAAACAATGCATCCTATTATCCCGAATTTCTCTGAATACCATTATGAAAAGAACTGCGGAAAGAAATGTACAGTAGCTATAAAAAAATTTAAGTAAATTAAAAAATTACATTTTTTTCGCTAATTTTATCAAAATGTATTTCTGCATCATTTTGGAATGAGAACTATCTTGGTGCGAATACTAACCTGGCGTACTTGGCAAGGTAAGCGTGTTCGATCGAAGGAGCCTTAATAAGTTTCTTTCCCAGAGTCTTCGCGAAACAGCTGATATCCAGTTGAGACACCACAGTTTCATTTAGCCTTCTCGCCGTAGGTGATTTTGACAAGGATTTTTCGCGCGCTGGCTTCTTCCTTTTTTTCTTTCTCTTCTTGCCATCTTTTGTTTTTTTGCGCTTCTTTAATTCATCTATTTTATCCGGCGCATTTAGATATTCGTTTGCGGTTTGCAGGTCGCTCCCGTCCGAAACGATCGGTTGATCGCCGAGATAGAAATTGTTACGGAAATGTCGAAATACCTTGTTATCTATACAATGTATGCGTCGGCTAAGTTGCTTGTCACATCTCGTATCAAATAATATAATATAACATATATCTAGCAATATGTCAGTGTAATTTAATTAATTTAAATATTCGCAGGTGAGAAAAGAAATAGCGCATTGTACGCTTATTAAACTGATAAATAAAATATTCATTTTGCATGATTATAATTAAAGGGAATTTTAATTAAATTCTCGTCATTCGTACGCTGCTCATCGCGAATGGACTTTAAATAGAATATTTCACCGAGCAAAAATGTTTCCAGAGATACTCGAGTAGCGTATCGCGCGCGGAGGAAGACGCGAGGATTAATTTCGTTGGATATATATACGATGGTCTCACGCGCCGGAGATGCATACTTTTACCGTACAGATGAGATCGCTGTCGAATAATGGAACCTTTACGCGTTCCTATATCAAACGAATGACGTACAAAGTGGTAGAATACTTGTGATTCACGTTGATCCGTTAAAAGCGGTCTCATGAAAATTTACACCTCCCCTATTTAATCAAGAGACACGAAATATTGCAAAAGAAAATATATCCGATTCGTTAATCAATCAAGTGTCGAAAAATTTTCATGAGACTTTTGATCCTCCCATCTTTTATAGACAGTCTTATCATCAATTTTCGATCTCTTGTGTTGCGAGTAATTCATAGGCATTCGCATCTGAATAAACACAGGCTCTTTTAATGTTTCGTCAACGTGCGTCCTGACCAAATCCACAGGATATATGTGTACGTGTGTGCGTATAATCCGTGCGTGGTATATGACTTGGCGGTTCATCTCCATCGAATGCGAGCTATGCCGTGTCGGCGGATTTCGTGCCGCCGATAGCACGCGCGATGGAACGAGACGCGTTCCTGAAACTCCGAAACGCCACCCCCGCAAATTTTCCCCGGAATCTCAATCGGGGTTTGCCGGTCCACGATGTCGAAGGGCAGCGAGATAGAGATGGTCAGATTCATTCGCGCAATCGGCATTATTATAATCGTCAGTTTAAGTATCTGAATACTGTATTGATATCATTGAGATTTTTGGTACGTATTTAAATATGAAAGAAAGATAAGATTAATTTATTTGATAATACGGTGGTGAAAATTGCAATCATGAGATAATCCCTGCCTCTTTTCGTTCGCTCCCTTTTCTTATTCAATTAAAGAAGTTCTCCATTGGTTCTTCAAGATTTTGAGAGGAAGCGCGAAGAATAGGAGAGACATACTATACAGTATCGGGAGCAGTGCCAGCCCCCCGGCTTAAGATATGCCGATAACTTGAGCATCGGTGAAAATTGAATCCTCCACGGTAAAGTCGTGTTTCCACAAATCATAGGAACGGGCGTGCCGGGTAAATTGTTCTTCGAAACTTTCGAGACTTTCTGACATATAGTTCGTAGAGAACCGCGGTTTTAAATATATATAATTCCAATTCTCTAACTTAGATTATAACGCGATACTGAAATCCGATTGAACAATACAGATAGCATTTATTAATGTTGCAAAGAGCGATTTTTTTATTTTATTTTCTTTCAGATATCCTTTTTTAATTTTTTAGTATCTTCATTTAGCATCTATATTAAGGTTGAATTTATTTCTTTGATTCTGTTAACAATAAGATCACGAACGGAACATCGAATAATAGAGTAGCGAATTTAGTCATCCCTCGACCATCTTTATCTATTGATTGAAAGCTCGATCGTTTCGATTGAGTAAGCAAACCGCCGTTCACTGTTACAGTATTAAGAGCGAGTTTGGTGCCATGAGTCCCCTTTATTTCGACAGCTCGATGTCTCGCGTTAAACGGATTTGTCCGTCAGTCTATTGAACACATGCATCGAGGCTTCACAGCCAGGTTGACGAGGAGTTAAGTCCCTTTCATGCGAATAATTGACTTATGTCGATCGAATTAGTATAATGCCATGGACTATGCGCGGAGACATTATACGATACGTGATGCGTAGATATCCTTAATTCATTCGAGTCGAAAAACTAGTTTAAAGAAACTCTATTGGTACAGATTGAATGTACGATGTGAATGAAAATTATATTAATCAGATGACGCGAACGAGAATAATGAAGAAATAAATGTCTTATTAAATAGTAAAAAATGTCCTTCACACATAGCAGAGAGATGTCTTTTTTTATTAAAAAAGCGATGTAATTTTCCCCAACGATACCGTTTATAAGTTGCAATTATTGAGGATGCAATATGCGGATGTTCGAATCGACATAATTAGTGGCATTAATCATAATGAATACGTTCCGCGAATGAAAGGACGTCATTTGAGTCAAAGCGATGGCGATGCGTAATCGTGTAAAGAGATTGATATTAGACTCGCGCGCTCCGCGTTCCTAATTAATTCCGATGAGAGAGAGGCACGACTCGCTTAAAATAGGAGATGGTATCTTACCGCGAGGCACGCATTTCGGAATAGGATGGTCCCAACCGTCGGTGGTGCAAGTCATCACCTTGTGACCCTTAAGTCTACGGCTCTGCTCGCACGAGTATATAGCTTGCAGAGTACCGTTCTGAAGAATCTTCTCCCTCACTATCCCTCCTTGCGGTGGCTGTACCGCGGGACAGTTTCCGAGGATTCCTGAAAGCGATAAATACAGATTTTGCAGGCGATATTTAATCGTACAAATAAATTAAATTATACGCAAACGTAATAATAAAAGAATTAAATTCAATATTATGGGACAATTTTTATTTTTATCGAGCGCAATTTTCCGATGTCATTACTTTTGAAAGAGAAACAGCAATAAAGTTTTAATTAATAATAAATTTCGACAAACTTGGCGCTTTTATTTTCATTTTTTTTTTTAAGGCAATATTTTAACGATTATTTATATCCGCACGCACGTTCCATCGGTATTGCGTGATCGTCTGACGGTGCACGTGTGGCAACGAGTCCTGCCACAGGAGCAAAAGGAAAAGACGTATGTCAAGCGTATGGGAGATCTTGCGGTTGCGCAAGCACAGTGACGCGGGATTAAAATTGAATAATTCCACGGTAACATAATATACGGTCACGCCGTGACGTCCAGTGTATGCGCTTCCGCCGCAAAAATTTTACCGTAGGGCCACCGGACGCATGATGATGCGATGGCCGTCAACGAGGCGAACGTGGCTAGCGCAAAATGCGCCTCTCT